CCCCCCCCCCCCCCCAAGCATGTCACACTCTCAGGGTTGCTGAACAATCAGGTACGTCGTTTAGGGCTTGCTGAACAAACACGTACTTCGTAATGGTTTTTACATTCAACGAACACTTCATATCATTTATGGTACATGTATGGCCACACATTCTTACCGGGCCATCTTTAAACACGCGTGTCTCCCGATGTCCTTGTCCAATGGCTGAGCAGGACCGCCACCGTGGAGCGTTACAGCAGGCGGTCATAACAGCTCTTAGAGCCCGTATTCGCGGAGACGAGAACCGCATCAGGAGTCTATGCCTGGGAGTTGGATTCGCGAAGGACAAGCAATCTCTCCTGGGCTATTCTTTTGGCAACACGCGCGACTTTCTGCAGATCTATCTTGCTATGCCAAGCCTGCTGCCGAAGGTACGTTGCTGGAAAGAGCGCGAGTGACAAGCATACGTAGGGCAGGCACGTCCCAACGATTGTTGGCACCAAAGCTGTTTGCAGTGGCCTTGCGCAAGTCTTGTGCTGGCGGCAATATTGTCCGTGCGATTTGCTTCATGTAATCTAGGCCGAGACGCGACGGACACGGCTCTTGCGTGCGTGTGATCTCTCAAAACTGGTCTACACATATTGAATCCAAACCCGTTCTCATACCAGGTGAAAACGCTGTTGGCGGACGGCATCCATGTCGATGGCTACGGGCAGTTGTGCGCCGGCACATCGTATGAGAGCAACGTGCCGTTTGTTCTTCGCTTCATGGTGAGGCCCGGTGCAGCGGTGAAGCACGTATTATTCGTCGAGAAACAACTTAGGAGTAGGCCGGGACTCGGTTTTCTCCGGGGCTTGGCGTCGAGCGTCTCGCCTTTTGTACCTCTTGTCCCACACGTGTGCGTTGTGGGAAGCCTGGAATTTTGGTGGTGACGGGTGTCATCGGCTCTTGGGTGAGTTTCGCACGGTGTTTTGGGCACTAGTCCCCAGATCCTTGTCAGGCGAAAACTAGGATAATCTTTTGGTGCCTGTTGTTTGCTCCGGCTACAGGAGCACGTTCCTATTTAGCGTTGCGAGGCTGGTATAATCATGTCCCAGCAGAATTCTGAGAGCTTCCGGCGCGTACGCTCTCCAGGTGGACAAAGATATCCCCGGGGCTAGCTGGATAGAGCTTCCCAAGGGAACTTACTCGATACGATCGGACTCCAAGAAGCGCTCGCGCTGTCAGCTGGAGGTGGATGTGTTCTTCAACCACATGAAGAGCCATCCATGCAAGGGAGAATGGAACAAGGTTGCGCCTTTGCGGATTCTGTCGTTCGACATCGAGTGTGCTGGACGCAAGGGGCACTTCCCAGAGGTAGGCCTATTATCGCCTACCTTACCGCTGCAGTGTGGGTTGTTGTTGTTGTTGTTGTTGTTGTTGTTGTTGTTGTTGTTGTTGTTCCTTCTAGGTGGCTGAGGTAGTAAATGCGCTTTGTACCGCCTGCTCCCCCATGCCCCATGCGCTTGTGACTCGGTGTCACACACTGATATCCCTAGAGAGCGCGACGTTGAGTTTCCGCTGCGAGCTCCCATCTGAAAATTTGCTTGTGAGTTTTGTGGTTTTCATGCTGGCGTCTCTTTGAAACTTTCGTCACTCAGGCCGACAAGGACCCCGTGATCCAGATCGCTAATGTCGTGAAGGTGCAAGGAAGCGACGACGTAGTCGCCAAGAATGTGTTCACCCTCGGGGGTTGCACTCCTATCGTCGGTGCTCACGTCATCTCGAACGCAACAGAGGACGAGTTGCTGTGGGAGGTATGTTGATGTGCTTTCGCCCGTTCTTGCGCTGCTGTGACAACTTACGGTTTGGTGATGCCTTCTCCCCGCTTATCTCGACATGCCAAACACCCCGCCCCGGGGGGATACACTGTACATGATGGCTTCTCAGTAGTCGACCAATGTTGTGATTTTCGCCTTGCTTGGCAGTGGAGCCAATTTGTGAAGGTGGCTGACCCGGACATCCTCACGGGCTACAACATCCAAAACTTCGACGTTCCGTACCTTCTGAATAGAGCTAAGGCTCTGTCGCGAAAGAGCAAGAAACTCGAGAAATTCGGCGAGTGGGGGCGTCTGCGAGGAAAAATGGCAACGATGAAGTGAGTTGGGTGTTGTTGCGTATTGCATATGCATTCCTTGTTTTGCATGCTTTGTGTTCCGACCTGTCGATGACCTGCTAGGGCTGTTCTCGGGATTTGTCATGGCCAAACGGGACACAATCAGATTTCATCTGGCCCTCACTCATGTACATTAACCTCTCTTCCTTTTCAACCCCCCGCTCGTTGTTTCTCGCTCCATTTTCAGGGACACGACCTTTCAGAGCAGTGCGTACGGAAAACGCGAAAACGTGGAAACAAGCATCGATGGGCGGGTGATGTTCGATATGCTGCCCTACATGTTCCGCAACCACAAGCTCAGTTCGTACAGTCTCAACAGCGTTTCCGCGGAGCTTTTAGGCCAGCAGAAAGAGGACGTTCACCACTCCATCATCTCTGACCTGCAGGTGTGTAGGTTGTGCAAAAATTATGCATATAGACTCTGGGACTGGCGGGCTAGCTGCTACCATGTTTCACAACAGTCTTTTGCCCATGATTCACAATACTGCGAGCAACGATCGACTCTGCCAGCTGAAGAGACTTCCACTACTGGGTACAGCAATGCAGTGCCCATAATTTTGCCCTGTTTTTTTCTCTCGTCGTGCTATCTTTTCGACACCATCAGAATGGCTCAGACGAAGACCGTCGGCGGTTGGCGGTGTACTGCATTAAGGATGCACTGCTTCCCATGAAGCTGATGGAGAAGCTGAGCGTCATGGTGAACTACATCGAGATGGCGAGGGTGACGGGCGTTCCTCTCAACTTCCTTCTCTCCAGGGGGCAACAAATCAAGGTGAAGTAAGGAGGCGGGCCGCTGGTCTACATCACCAGTGTATTGCTCACTTTCCTTTTGGTACACGGGACGCAAGCCGTCTTTGGAGGTCCACTTCACCCGTCATATCGTCGGTGCGCGTTTTTCTACCCGTTTAGGTGTTCTCCATGCTTTTGCGGAAGACGAGGAGTGTTAACCTGCTGATCCCGAATCTGCCGAAGCATGCTGTTGACCAAGAGACGTACGAAGGGGCGACGGTGATCGAGCCCAAGAAGGCGTTCTACGAGGAGCCGATTGCTACGCTGGATTTCGCGTCGTTGTACCCATCCATCATGCAGGTGCCTGTTTTTCTGGTTTTTGGCCCATTTAGTGGAGTTGGTGGCAGTGGTCGTGATGACTGCAGCTGTCATCTACAGACATGCGTGTGGTGAGGAGGATTGTCGAGTGTTTAATGGCGGCTTGGTTGTGAGCGATCGATACGTTTGTCTCGTGGCGAGTCTTTGACGCAAGAGCGCATGTTGCACTGTAAGCGCTAGCGTGCCCGGAGCAGGTTCACACGGTTATCGCTAGATATTCCCACTCACATCTGCGTCATCGCTTTACGACTTGGCTGACCGGGTGTCTGTTTGCAGGCGTACAACCTGTGCTACTCCACCCTGGTGGCAGGCGAGGACAAGAACAAGCTCAAGCCGGACCAATACCTCACGAGCCCGTCAGGGGATGTTTTTGTCAAGTCTGAGGTAATATACTTTGGAAGGGCAACATCCAGGAATGGTGCACACGTTGTTTCATATCGACCAGTACCATCTCTCTGCATATGGCCGGAACATACAACGCGGCGTTTTTCGGGTTCGGTCGCACTGCGCACGCATCTGCAGGTCACGAAGGGGTTGCTCCCGGCGATTCTGGACGAGCTTTTGACCGCGCGGAAGCAGGCCAAGAGAGACATGGCGGCAGCTACAGACCCCATGGAGAAGGCTGTGCAGAACGGCAGACAGCTTGCGCTTAAGGTAAGACAAACCGAATGTGTGACGCCTATTGTTCTGTCCTCACGGCGTTTGCTCTCGGAAGCAAGTCATCTGTACCTTGTGCTCCATGCTCACCATTCGATGCCTACTCTCGTTGCGATTTTACAACGTTATTCGTTCGCCGCAACTCCCATTCGTGTGTATCTTCTAAAGGTGTCGGCAAATTCTGTGTACGGCTTCACCGGTGCTACCGTGGGGCAGCTACCCTGCCTACCCATCGCATCCAGCACAACGTCCTATGGGCGAGACTTGCTGTTCCGAACACGGAGCTACGTGGAAGAGACCTACACCGTCGCGGTGAGTTGTGCTCGCTTTCCCCTCTCCTGTTTGCTGCGAATGTGTGTTATGTGTTTGTTAACGTTGTGTAGAGCGGGTCGGTGTTTGGTTGGGACGCATATTTACGATCTTCAGCTGTGCAGGGATAACTTCGCCCGAGTTTGAAGCCTCCATCCTGGTACGTGTGCGCCTTCCTTTACACCTAGAACGGTTACGACCATGACGCCGACGTGGTGTACGGAGACACCGACTCTGTCATGGTCAAGTTTGGCTCCAAGACAGTAGCGGAGGCCATGCCGCTTGCGGAGAAGGCTGCGGAGGAGGTGTCCAAGATCTTTCCTCAACCTATCAAGCTGGAGTTCGAGAAGGTGAAGAAAGATTTCGTCGCTGGACGTTGATCGTTGTACGACGGTGATTTGCGGCAACGTCTTCGTTTGACCCGGTATGGACGGCGTTGTTTCAAATGCTGGCAGTTGGATGCGGAATTGCCCGACCAAAATTTCGTCCACGCGGTGGTTTATGTACTTCGTTGGCCACAGGTTTACTGGCCATACCTCCTGATGAATAAGAAGCGTTACGCGGGATTGCTGTGGACCAAGGTGGACAAGTACGACAAGATGGACACCAAGGGGCTCGAGACGGTCCGACGTGACAATTGCTTGCTTGTCCGCAAGGTGAGGACAGCAATAACGAGGCAGGAGACTGGGAACCGTTTCCACTACTGTATATCTCTATCATATGTGCAGACGTCGTTCTCTCACAAAATGACCCAACTTTTCCTCAACCACATCTGCTGCCCACTTTTCACGTTCGCAGGTGGTCGACACTTGCCTCCGGAAAGTTTTGATAGACAGGGACGTGCAGGGCGCCATCACCTACTCGAAGCAGGCATGAGTCTTCCCACCTAGATATGTGGTCATGGAACTTTATTTGGGAGGAAAACGTGGCCCCGTCGAGGATCGACAGTGGTCAACACCATGCGTTGCCGATGTTGTTACTATAGTGTACGAAGCCAGTTTGTTGCTCACTCTCCCACGACGCGGTCTATCTTGCGTCTGCAGGTGATCTCGGAGCTTCTCCAGAACAGGATGGACATTTCGCTTCTCGTCATCACCAAGTCCCTGGGAAAGAGCGCGGACAGCGAAGGCTACACCGCCAAGCAGGCGCACGTGGAGCTTGCGATGCGCATGAAGAAGCGCGACCCAGGAACCGCTCCCAACGTGGGGGATCGTGTTCCGTACGTTATCATCCAGGAAAGATATGTTGTCGTCTTATCGCACTCACTTTTGTACGTCAAAGTGTCGGCGGTCTTCTGATAGAGGGCGAAACCGTCAGAGGTGCGGGCGTCCTGCGTGGCGTGTAGTCAGGCCTTTGTGTTGGTCATTCTCTCAAGCACGTGTATTGTACTCTCCGCCTCCCCCCCTCCTCCCCTCCCCGGGGGAGGCCGAGGCCCGCATGTGCAGTTTACCCTCGAAAAACCACCCAACAACGACGGATATACGGTCCCTAGCACCGTTTAGGAGAGGATCCTGAGTTTGGCGATCGGGAGTTTCCGCGGTCACGAGATCGAGGTAGATCGCGATAAGCCAACTTGGAGACAGCTGCCGATGGGTTTGAACCCAAATGCCCCGGTTTGGACGCAGGGGCAAGGCAGCAGTGGAGAGCACGGAGAGGGTGGCGGGATGATCGCACACCGTGTGGGTAAGCACCCAACAGGGGGACGGAAAGGGTCCAGAGCTGGAGAGCCACGCCGCTCCGGGACAGGAAGACACCTCGCTGGGAAAGGCAAGCACCGGGTTAACTCTTACATTAACCCGAGGATCCGCAGGGCAATCAGAAAAAAACAAATAAAAAAAGGAAGGAAGAAGAGGAGGA